CACTACGGGGGCTCTGCCTGGTGGAGAGGGCCTCAGGGGTACTGCTGCCTGGTGGGGAGGGCCTCAGGGGCACTACGGGGGCTCTGCCTGGCAGGAAGGGCCTCGGGGCACCGGGGGCCTCTGCCTGGTTGGGAGGGCCTCGGGGCACTGCAGGGACTCTACCTGGTGAGGAGGGCCTCTACCTGTCGGGAAGGGACACCTACCACTGGCTGACTGTCTGTCGGCCCTCAAAGTCGGGCGGCAGGTGGCTCATGCGGTGCATGGTCTCCATCAGCTCCCGCAGGTCAGGCTGGATCTGGGACACACACAGCAGCTGGGACCCCCACACCGCTCCATCCCCTCCTGCCTAGACCCGCTGCCGGCCCAATGCCTGCACCTCATCCATGGCGCGGATCTCCAGACGTAGCTTGTCCATGACCGTGATGAAGAGCTGGGGGCGGATGTGCATGTGAGTTCCCATCTCCAGGGGTAGGGGAGGCCTCGCAGCTCACAGGCCCCAACCCCTTCCCAGACGCAACTGTCACTGGAGCCTCCTCACTGCCCAGAGAGCTGTGTGGGAACTGGAGGGTGAGCCCACACACTCTCTCCCGAGGCTGGGATACCCCCAGAATGCACCCTGTGCACATCCCCACCTCAGGAGTCCAGGCTGCCCAGGAGGCCACCCTGCCTGCTGCCCACCCCTCATTCCTACTTAAAGGGGTTCCCTTCCACCCAGCAAGTCCAGTGCTGCTCAGCTCTGGAGGCCCAGGACCCTATGCTGTGCCCGGCTGCAGTAACAGCCTCGGCCCTCCTAACCCTGTGGGCCCTGGGGGCTGGCGCACCGAGACCACGTCAGCAATGCAACGGTTGAGATTGCCCTTGTCGTCCTTGATGGTGATGGGCCGATCCTCCTTGATCCGCTCCATGGCGAGCGGGCAGTCCAGCTGTCAGTTGCTGATATGAGTGCTGGGGCTCTCAGGATGGCAAGCCCCATGCAGCCAGAGCCCGACGGCCCCCCATACCCATGCTGACAGCCCCCGTCTTGCGGGGCTGGGAGGACCGGGCACTCACTCGGAATTTGCGGCAGAACTCATCAATAGAGCTGATTTCTGAGCCCTGAACCTGCCTGAAGGCAGCTTTGTACTGGACCAGGAGCCGCGAGCAGGCTGCAGTGTACCTGGGGAGAAGTCAGCTGCTTCCCGAGCATGGGACCAGCTCTGCCCAGCTCATCCCATTCCCTCAGCTGGTCCAGAGGCAGAGCAGCTCCCAGAGAGGGCCGGGCAACAGGCAAAGGCAGGCCAAGCAAGGAGGAGGGGCTGCTAGCAGCTTCATGGGGCGAGGCCCTGAGCCCATAGTGGTGCTTGGGGCTCAGCTCCAGGTGGAGGCCCCGGCCCCCCACCCATGCCCACCCTCTAACCACAGCGACCAGCACTGTTATGATGACCCCATCCACAGCTTATGGTCCTGTGTGGTGGCCTGTGAGGGTCTTGTGACCTCGTGGAACAAAGCCCCCCAAAACGTCCTGGGACATCTCCAAGCCTCTCGCCTATCTTGTAAGGTTGTCTATGCTGGGGGATGAGGGTGGGGGACTGGACTGGATGACACCCCAGGGGCCACTCCCCTGTTGACCTCCCTCACCACCCCCCTAGAACTTCCCTGGCTGGGAACCAGGGGCACCCTCCTCACGCTGGGTGGGCCCCACAAAAGGGCAAGTCTGACGGACGCTTGCTCTTGCTCTCTACGGAGCACCCAAGCCTGGGAGGGCAGGAACAGGCCTCCAAGAACGTGGGCTCTTACTCGCTGGGGGAGACGCAGTCCTTGATGTAGGCTTTCTCCAGGGCCTGCATAGTTTTCACCACCGCAAACAGCTCTGCCATGTTGTCGTACCTGAGGACACACCTGTCCATCGGGCCAGGCCCCGGGGTGCCAAGCCTAGAGCCCGGAGCAGCAGCCCCTGCCCAGAGGTGCCACTGCGGGAGCTCTTCCCTCCTCTCGCTCCATCCTGGAGTACCTCCAGAACAGCTCCCCATCCTGACTCTGTGTCCTCCCACTCCTTAGAGTGGGATGGGTTGGGGGGAGGCTGCCCTGGGGCAGCCAGACAGGCATGGGTGTGTTGGGGCAACCTGGGTGCCCGCACTTACTTCTCCCGCTCCCGGGCATTCTTGTACAACTTCACTTCCTGCCAGAGAGAGCAGACACTGTGGGCCAGTGCCAACAGGGGCTGTAGGGCCCCAGTGAGGCAACACAGGCATTTGCTGTTGGCCAGTGCCAGCCAGATGGGCACCCACCACTCACCTCATACAGCTCTGGCTTGTTCCCAGGGGCTGCAAGAGAAGGCAGAAAGCTGGCAGGATTCCCCAAAGAGAATCTGAGGGCAGGCTCCAGGCCCAGCCTCCATTTCAGGTCCCATGCTGGGTCCCAAAGAGCCCAGGGGGAGCTGAAGCACAGGGTCCAACCTCACCCCCATCAGTGTGTGGAGGGACCTGGAGATGACACCTCTGGAAGGCCAGGGGAGCTGAGCACAGGGGTCCAACCTCACCCCCATCAGTGTGTGGAGGGACCTGGAGATGACACCTCTGGAAGGCCAGGGGAGCTGAGCACAGGGGTCCAACCTCACCCCCATCAGTGTGTGGAGGGACCTGGAGATGACACCTCTGGAAGGCCAGGGGAGCTGAGCACAGGGGTCCAACCTCACCCCCATCAGCGTGTGGAGGAACCTGAAGATGCCTCTGGGAGGCCAGGGGAGCTGAGCACAGGGGTCCAACCTCACCCCCATCAGTGTGTGGAGAGACCTGAAGATGCCTCTGGGAGGCTGGGGGCCGCATGCCAGGCCTGGCTCCCCAGCTCCACTGTGGCTCCCTAGCTGTGTCACCTTTACAACAATGGCCACACCCTGCTCGTGGCCTATGACGCAGTGCCAACAAGGCTCACTGCACACAGCCTCTCCCCTGGGCTTGGTGACACAGGGTGCCCAGGACCCCCATGGTTCTGGCCACACCAAACTCATCATCTCTGCCCAGCAGGATCAAGCCAGCTCTCCCTGGAGGAGGTTTCAGGGCCCTCAGTGCTCTTGTGATGAACTGCACCCACCCCTGGCCACCCACAAGGCTGTTTGGGAGCAGGGTCAGGGTAGACTTACAGACATCTCCCACCCTGACCTCTGAAGTCCAATACTGCCTGTCAGCCCCTCCAGGAGGGGCTGAAAGCCTGGGCCCTTCCAGTTTCTAAGCCCAGCTCTGGCCACACTCACCTCCTATGCCCGGAGTGGCTGGGATCCCATGAAACATCCTCTAGGCTCTGGAGGGGCGACAGCACTGAATCTGAAGAAGGAAATTAAATAATACTAATGGTAGCCTGTAATTCCTGCATAATAAAGTTTACTATGTTACGTTCAACATAAAACCTAACCCCCAGTTCTGCTTGAAATTGACTCTCTCTCTATAAAACTTACCTTACCTATTCTCCCAACATTCTCAGCAAAGTTCCTACGCATCTCAAAACTCCCATTTTTCTTGCAGACCAGCTGCAAGGTCACAGGGCAAGATAACACCCAAAGAATATGCAATGTGTTTCTCAAAATGCTATTTTCAAGTGTAAGGTACAACACAAAACATGTTACAAATTAACGAACTGTTCTTTAAACCTGTTAACTGCTACGTCATCCTGGATGTATGAAAAATCCAGCCCTGTCTTTGTTAGGGCTCAATCTTAGAATACTAATCCGTGAGCCAGTGGCCACCTTAAATCCTCCTGTTTCACCCATTGGTCTCTCCAGTCTCCTGAATATTTTGCAACAAGACCTGGGGAGCAGAACCAGGGCTGACTTAAAGATGCACTCAAAATAGGCACGGTGGCTCATGCCTATAATCCCAGCACTTTGGGAGGCCAAGGTGGGTGGATCACCTGAGATCAGGAGTTTGAGACCAGCCAGGCCAACATGGTGAAAACCTGTCCCGACTAAAAATAAAAAATTAGCCAGGTGTGGTGGCACATGCCTGTAGTCCGAGCTACCTGGGAGGCTGAGGCAGAATTGCTAGAACCCAGGAGGTGAAGGTTGCAATGAGCCAAGATTACGCCACTGCACTCCAGCCTGGGTGACAGATCAAGACCCTGTCTCAAAACAAATGAAAAACAACAAGAAAAGCCCGTAAGTGCCAGGTCCTGGAGACCCAGGGCGTCATGAAGAGCACTCCCGAGCTCAATAGTTGTCAGGGTGCTACCGGGGCTGCCATGACAAAGTGAGGTGCTGCGGTCACCGTCACTCAGGACTGCGGGATGGAGGGGACTGCCTTGGAATGTGGTCCAAGCTGCAGGCTGAGGCAGGTGATGAAGGAGGCAGGCAGCTGTTAGATGGCCCGGGAGGGGCGTTTTGGGCACAGGAAACAACACACTTAACAACTAGCCTGTAAGGAGGCATGAACTTGGAGGAACAGACAAGCTGAGGGGTGGAGCTTCTCGAGTGAGGGGTCCTAGGGCAGGAAGACTGAAGATAGGGAGCTGGGTCTTATTCTCCTTGGGGCTCCTAGGTGGCAGCGGGCTGTGGAGAAAGAATGGAAGCAGAGCCAGAGGCAGGCTCCTGCCCAGTACAAAAGCTGGGCTAGCTCCAGACGTTCTCTCTTTGTAAGTGGAACCGTCAGATCCGCCGAGGGATTTGAGGCAGGGTTAAAATAAAGGCGTTAGCCGGGCGCAGTGGCTCACGCATGTAATCCCAGCACTTTGGGAGGCCGAGGCGGGTGGATCACGAGGTCAAGAGATCGAGACCATTCTGGTCAACACGGTGAAACCCCGTCTCTACTAAAAATACAAAACATTAGCCGGGCATGGTGGCGCGTGTCTGTAGTCCCAGCTACTCAGGAGGCTGAGGCAGGAGAATTGCCTGAACCCAGGAGGCGGAGGTTGCGGTGAGCCGAGAT